GACAATAATAAGAGGTGGGATTGAGCAGATAATTAGGGATATCAGGAAGGACCCAGGATTGTGGTGATGGAGATGCTATCAAGAGCTTTTTTTTCAGTAGCACCCTGAGAAAGAGGCTGAGCCCAGCCCCTGCTTCTTACCTCCCTCCACAGAGATTAATGACCCTGAGTGGTGATCCAGCAGCTGCATGTGTGAGGCCTTCCCTCTTGCTTTTGTTGTATATTTTGCTGGGGAAAAAAAAAATTGGTGGGAGGGGTGAGGTTAATGCGTTGAGTGTGAGTAATTAGTCATTCAAACCATTGACATTTACAATGACAGGATTTGAGTGCCTGCGTTATTGTGCACTGCTCTAATAGTTTATCCCTGAAATTTTCTGCCTGTATAATGTTTCTTAAAATATATCACAGAAACATAAAAGATTTAATGCAGTGCTTTGTACAACCATTAGAGTTTGACGTCAACTGAACCTCCTCAGTGCTCTATCCTGGATGCTCACTGTAATTCTGTTCTTAATTATGCCATTCAGAAGAGAGAAGGAGGGCAAGTCAGGGGTTTGAACCTGGTCAGCTGCAAAGTCGGCCATGTGACCCACACAGACTGTTTCATGAAAGTACATAGGCACACTTGAGTAAATGATATATTTATTTGCAATGAAAATTGTGCTGTTAGAATATCAAAAGCCTGGAGAAGGAAGTGTTCTGATCTTTCTGAGCCAGCCTCTGTGCTTATTGGAGGGTATGGATTACCTCTGGTTTGCTTCCTATGTTGAGATTACAGGTGTCCTCTCTTTACGATGTATCAGGTTACCTTCAAATATTATAGTTTCATTTTCTTGAGTTTGATATCGTTAGATCTTGGCCATTTCCCTTATTTTCCAAGTATGTTTTAAAATCCTCTTGATTCACTTGTGTGTCACATTTCATTCTGGCATTTTACATTTGTGATTCTTTTTTTTAAGCCTGTCTTGTATCCTGGGATGCACCATTAAGACCAATGAGGGGTCTCATTACATGATGTATATTAACACATTTGCAAGTGTTTCTCAGCTTTAGTACATTTTTATTGAGCAAACTCAGTGTGCATGTGTGTATTTTCATCAGTTCTTTCTGAATACACAAAACGATAACTGTAGAATATGTTCAAGGCAAAGAGAGCTCCCCTCCCATAAGCCAAGAATGACTTGACCTAATTTATAGGTTTGGTTGGTTGAAGTAGCTCAGTACTGAACACTGCATCTTGTGGATCATTCTTTTCAGAGGTTTGGGCCCAATTAGGGTTCAGATGGGGCTACAGATGGGGCTCAACTCCAGGAGTCAGCATAATTTAGGAAATCCACATAAGATGTAAGAAGATGAAAGCTGGTTGGGGAACTGAAATTACCTTGCTGCAGACTTGGTACTTCCTAGGCTTCTCTGGAGCAGGGAGACCTGTGAGATGTTCACATGGATGAGGGCTGGCTTTCGCAACACATGTCTGTGAGGCAGGCATCCAGTGAACGAAAAAGATGAACCCGGCTCTCAGGTGATCATCAATTGTCATAGTCCCATAAAATCTCAGCACGCTTAGGTATGATTTACATTCTTCTTCATACTCCATCATTAATGCCCCAAAAGCTGCCTCAGTGCAGGATATTTTCTAGGTGCTTGTGGGGCAGCCTTAACAAGGGTAACCTGAGAAAGATGAAGAGCCGGGAACGTGTTCTCGAGATTGTGGGGCTGGCTTGTTTGCCACTACGTCAAAAGGTAGCAGTGTGTAGCCCTGTGGTTCTGCCAGCCCCAACTCCTGAACTGGATAAAGTCTGTTTTTAAGTTCCTTATCAAGGTGGCAGTGTTCCTTGTGTTTATTGCCTGGACACCTGACTGACTGAAGCAGTGAGACAACGCTGCAAATGGAGACGCTGCTCAGACCCAGGAGGCCCAATGGTGGGGCAGAGCAGAAACCTGCCTCCCCACCAGGAGTTGTGATGATGCTCTACGACATCATCTCAGTTAGCATGTGCCTCCCTTGAGCACATCTCCCTCGTGTTTTCCCGGACAGAGCAGCAGAATAGGCTTTGTTTGGATACAGCTTCTATCAATGCTGAGAAGAGCTTGATTTAAGATTCTTCTCAGAAACCCTTTGTTTTCTCCTTGCTGTCTGGACCAGCCTTCCAGAATCTCACAGTTGACCTGAATCCAAGAAGTTCTGATGGTGTGGTAAGCAGAGCCACTTAAGTTACTTACATGATGTTAAAGAATCTTAGAAGCTCCTCACCTTCCTTAGTCTGCCTTATTCCCCTGACTCCTCTTGAGACTTCTTTTTTGTTTGTTTGTTTCATTTCCCATTTGTGATCATTCAGAAAAGGAAACAATTAGAGGAACACCTACCTAGGGCATAATGAAGAATAACAATTGTAATGCCTCTAGGCATTCATTCTGAAGAGAAACCTGCACGTGAGGCTTTATTCCAGTTTACAAAGAGGAAACTGAGGTAGAATATTCGAGTCACCTGCCTGAGATTACATAGCTAATAAGTGGTAGGACTACAGTCTTAAGTCAGCTGCTGCCGTGACTAAAAACTTACTCCTTTTTTACTTTATCACTTCTGCTTCAGTGAGAAAATACGCAAAAAACCCACCAAAATAAAACCCCCCAAAATCTCTGAGTATTGATGAGGTTGTGCAGCAACTGGAACTTTGATACGCTGCTGGTGGGAGTGTAAGTTGGTGCCACCATTTAAAAGAGATACTGACAGTGTCTGCTGCACAGAACATACATATACTCTGACCTGAAAATAGATTCCCAGGAATACTCCCAACAGAAACGTGTGTGTATGTAAATCATGAGACGTGTGCGTAATGCTCAGAGCAGCATTATCTATAATAGTTAAAAACAAAAAACGACTGAAATATTTATCAACAGAAGTGGTAAATAAAATGAGATAGTTTCATAATTTCACAAAGGAATTCTCTACAGCAGTGGAGAAGTAAAACCTACCACTATATCTAATGACATGGGTGACACCCAGACATAATGTGTGAAAAGACATAAAAGAGTACATATTGTGTGATTCCATGTATATAAAGTTCAAAAGCAGATAAAACTAATCTATGAATTATAAGTCAGTTACCTTGGGGTGGGTGTGGTGGTGAGAATGATGGAGGTAGGGACACAAGAAAGGCTTCTGGGATGCTAGTCATGTTCTATATCATGGTCTGACGGTGAACACTCAGGTGTGAATCGTGTTCTCTTTGTAAATATTCTTTGAGTTGTACCCTTAAGGTTTACATGTTTAACTACATGTATATGAAAGTGCTTGTCCCCTCAAAATTCTCTCAGCAGCCAAATGGGGATAATAATGGAAGATGCTAGTTGTCAGATGTCTGCTAAACCTTGCTTTCCACGTCTATGAGATGTAGAGAATATTACGATATGCCTCATTGCCTTTTTGTGAGGACTCAGTGAGAGAAGTCACGTCAGGCAATTGGTAGAGTGACTTTAATAGATATCAGTAATGGCAAATTACATTCCCGCCACTATTCAGGTGCTTTCTATACCTCATGTCACCACCTTGCAAGACAGGTGGCTTTGTTCCCATTTTTCAAATGAGGAAAACTAAGGCTTCTAGAATTTCAGTCACTTCCCCCAAGGTCACACAGCTGGTGAATGGCAGAGCATGATTCCATTTCCAAAGAACTGGTCAAGGTCAGAGGCGACAGAAGTCCTATCATGAAGGACAAATAAGAAATGTGAGAGGATAGAGTGCAAAAGTGGGACTGCTGGGCTGCATTTGGGGTCAGGGAACCTGGGTGCAGGCCCAGACTCTGCCCCAGTTTCCCATGATGACAGAATTCACTGGATGTCTCTGGAATTCATCTCAAACATGAGAGTTTTGAACTAGATTTTATTTCCTTACGTGCCTTCTGGCTCTGCAGTTTTGTGATTCTCTGTTTGTCATGCCACACAGGACCTCTTTATAACCAGGCCCCATGAGCTTACATCCGTTTTCCATATAGAATGTATTGTGTATTCTAGCTTCATCTTCTCAGTACTTTACCTGAATCCCATCCTGTAAAGCAGGGCTAATTGCTCCTCTCCTGTATGCCCACAGTCCTCCTGGGAGCCATTTACCTATCTGTGTCCTCAGTAGGCTGTAAGCTCCTTGAGGGTAGAGACTGAAATTTATTCATCTCTTTTTTTCCATGCATGCTGCCTGGAACAGTTCACACATTTGTGGAAACCTTTGTTTAATTAACTATTTGAATCCAAATTTAATTTAAATTTAAACTATTTACTTTTCGAGTAAAGTGTGAGAGGATAGCCTTGGGCTGTGCTGGACCTAAGGTAGGACCTAGAGAGAGCTCTACCTTTATGTCTTTCATTTTATTTGAGGTCCAGGAGGAACAGTCACAGAGTGGCTAAGGAGAAAAATCATTAGATGACTTTGTAGCTCCCCAGAATGTGCTTATGAAATCTGAAGTTTGATCAGTGCTTAAGCATCGGTGAAAATCTAAACCCTTCCCATGTGGAACGGCCCCACTTAATTTAATGTCATTTTACTTTATGAGATAGTTAATAAACAGGTACTGTATTTGATCTTGTGAGCGTAGCCCTCTATATTTAGTTTTTCAGCTTTAATGGAACTATAATTTTAATCATGATTATTACTTTACATTTTAATTATAATTTGGTGTGGCTTAAGTATACATTTCTGAGAGTGATTGTGTAAAGAAAACAGGAATTAGCTTTTCATTAACAAAATAATGGGAGAGTTCCCACTGCATTCTAGTCTGTGTTCAAAATCCATGGGCTGGCCTAAAAATAGCAAGGGGAGTTTAACATTTTGGTTAAAAACATGCTTCTAAATTGGCTGTGTTCACAACCCAGTCTCCTTTGCTCCATCTTGCTTTATCTTGTCCTCTTTCTTTTCAAAACATAAAGTAAAATAAAATCTTGAAAGAGACTTTACTTGTGTCTTTAAATTTCATGAGGCTTATTTTTATTATTTTTATTTTTATTTAGATAATTAGCACCATGGAGCCACAGGTGTCAAATGGCCCGACATCCAATACAAGCAATGGACCCTCCAGCAACAATAGAAACTGTCCTTCTCCCATGCAGACAGGAGCAGCCACAGATGACAGCAAAACCAACCTCATAGTCAACTATTTACCCCAGAACATGACCCAGGAGGAATTCAGGAGTCTCTTTGGGAGCATTGGTGAAATAGAATCCTGCAAACTCGTGAGAGACAAAATTACAGGTATGCTCTTCTTCAATATTCAAGGCTTAGACTTAGTAGCTGCGTTGTTCCATTAGATGTTCAGAACTTAGCAGAAATGTACACAGATGGTGAATGCATCTGAGTGTCTGCAATGTGTATCCTGCATTCAAGGATGGCATGGGTACACAGTCATAAACTCACCCATGCGTGTACTCCACATAAAACCAGATTGCAGATTGGGAGGACTGGGAAGCAGATGAGGATGTTGGAACTTCCTTGAGCTTTACTTTTTGTGAAATAACCCTTTGGTTTTATCCCCTTTTATTCTGAATCAGCCACCCCTTCCCTTTGTTCTATAGTTCTCCGTTCTGCCCTCTGCCCTCCCTGTCCTCCACACTAGTTTTTATCTCTTCCTTTCTTCTCAAGCATTTGGTTTGTGTGTGTCCAGTGTCCCATGTGTCTGAGACAGTGTTTTAAAGGGGGGCCATGGTGAACTTTGGAAGGAGATCACAACAGTCCATTGTCCCTGGGGAGAGATAGTCTCTAAGGAGAGCAGATTATTCTGGAATAAAACTACTCTGCAGGAAGAAGGAAAAGCTTAATGAGGATCTGCAGTTGAGGTGTTTTATTTCATTTCGTTTGGTTTGGTTTTGAAGATACTTTTTGAGAAGGCAGAGACTTTTTACTGGAAAGTAAAACAATACCTGATCAACTTCAGTACTTGAAATTTTTAGCTTCTGTTTTTCCGAATTGACAACTATTTGTTGAGGACCTCATGTTCGCCAGATACTATAATTCTTTGTGGTAACGTTTCCGTGTAATCTTTTTGGAAGTGAGAATATTTCCTCAGATGACTGATGGCTACGTCACAACAGCAATGCAGCCGCTGCGCCATGGCGCTCCGCTCCCAAGATCATTCACCCTCAACTGAGTATTTGGCGTTTTCCAGGACTGACTTTTGTTTCCCTTTCCCTGGGCAGATTAGGTGACAAGTAACTGGCCTATCTTGGAAAAAGGAAATTCTGTCATTAAAATAGGAAGATACATCAGCTTGATTTTCAGTAGGGGAGTCTGTGTGTGTTGCTCTACGTGTTCTCTAGTTCTTCTGCTTCACGTGCAAATCTGTCTCCCATATAAATTAAATTACTTTGCAAAATCATAAAACTAAAATGACTGTAGGAAATAAAAGTCACGTAACCCTCCAAACATAATTTCCTCATCTATAAAGTTGGAAAAGAATATTGATCTCAAAGGGCTTATTGTGAGGCTGAAATGAGAGACTAAATATAGATAGGACCACCTAGCATGGTTCCTCGTGCCCAGTGGTCTCATGGTAAATGGGAGACGTTATTATTACAGATACAGGTAGTAGGTTACAAGGAAAGCGGCTGAACAGAGACGTTTACCAAGGTTTCCAAATAGGGCCAGGGCTTAGAGGATCTTATCTGAGTACGCTGGATCATCCATCCTTTAACAGAATTGCCTGCACTCTCAGAAAGCCAATGTTTAGATTTCTGAATAATCTTTATATAATAGGATGATAATTCAAACAAAATTAAAACCAGTTAACCATATGATTCTTCCTCCCACTCCTGTATAGAAAATGTATTTTTGGTGGAGCCTTACCTCCTAAATAGGGACTCTGCCAGCTATATTAGTGAATGTTATTAATCACCTTTTCAAAAGAATTCCCTTAGAACCGTAGTGAGATTTTTGAAAAGTACTGATTCATGGTGTTGTTCCTTGTTTTCTAAAGACACATGTTTAAACAAGCAGATTCCTTTACTGAAAGAATGCTAATTTGGTAGTTCACCGAGTGGATTTGAATAGGAGTGACAGCTTCGAAGACAGCCTTTAATTTGGTATACAAAACCAAAATTGTCAACTTTGGTTTGTTTAGCACCCTCTCCAGCACAAGCAGAGACATACAGTAGCATCTGAGCTTAAAGAAGAAGCTTATGGGTTGAAAGCAGAACTATAATTCAGGCATAAATTTATAATTATGCATTTTTTAAATTTCAGGCAAAAAAATTTTTTTTATTTGCAAAGAACTTATGGGAACGAGGCAAGGAAATATAGAGAGACCAGCGATATTTGCCCTCATTTGGTAGCAGTGTTTAATAAAAGTAGAACTTGTGGTTGTAAAGAGCGCTTATTAAATTCTTCATTTACACTACCTAATTAATTCTAGCATTTTAAATTAACAGTGAAACTGGTCCCTGCTGTACCATTCCATAGATGCAGCATATTTCCTCCATCCACCAGTTGTTCAGGTTTAATTGACTACGCTAAAAGTCAGAGAAGGAGGGAGAGATAGGGCTGTGGGGAGGTGGGGAAGGAGTGAGAATCGCTCTAATGGAAGACCCTCTGAGGCCTACATTTGGTGGTAAGTGATAACACAGGCTGGGAGAGGTGAGGTGTAACGCCAGCCAAGTTGAAAGGCTGCTGCTAGTGGTTCAGAAGTCAGGGTGAATGACATCATAGGTATTTTTGTTGCCCTGATTTTAACATCCCAGTCCCCACTTTTCCTCCAACACCTCCTACAGATCTCAATACATCTCGATCCTGTGAAGTTTACAAGGAGTTCTAAATATCTAGTGGGAGGATTGGGGGGTGGGAAGTGGCAAAGAGATAAGAATTCAAGATTAAGATTTTCCAGCCCCAGCCACTCCCCAAGAGAATGGATTCCCTTAGAAGGTACCGGCTTGTTGAATTAAGAGAAAGACACTGAGAGGAAGAGAAGGAGAGAGAGACTTGTTGTGGATGGCGTTGCATGTAGACTAGGTTCCCTCCTGGCTGTGGGTTGTCAATGAATGTGCCATTTGAGAACACATAGAGGGAATTTGGGCATGGACTTAAATGTTTGGTGCTGAGGACATATGCTATCATTTATAAAGTTGTTAGTCTATGCTAGGTACTTGCTAAGCGCTGAACATACCTTATTTGATGTAACACCGAGAACAACCTCCATCTTCTTAGATGAGGACACTGAAACTGTGTGAGGTCAAGTAACTTCTCCCAGCAGCACAGGTATTACCAGGTGGTAGAGCTGGGGTTCACCCCCAGACTGCAAAAGCATGATCTTATGGGGAGGTACGAGCAGGATGCCCCTGCCGGTGTTGAGTGAAGACCCCTGCCTAAGCCTCCCCCCATAACCCAGTGAAACATTGTGAGCGTCTGAGTAGCAGTTGCTGGCCACCCTCTGGAGATTCTACCTAATGCACCACGGCTTTCAACTAGACTCCTGTGTAGAACAGGAAGCAAAGATAACAATATTTATCATCCTCTGGGGATACAACTCAGCCTTCAGAGTAGAACCAAATTTACTGAAAGTGCCAGGTTTGAGATTCTGTTATAGTGCTTTTGGACATCTCTGTTACTTATCTTCTCAGACATACTAGATTTTCTTTTTCCAATTGGGAAAGGACACTTATCAGGATAATCTAGGTATCAGGGAGAGAAAACATGTCTCCCAAGTTGCTTTTGTGTGCAGCTGCAGACACGTGGTGACACCAGAAGCCATGTTCTTCCTTTTTCTCCTGCATCCACCTGCAGGCTCTGCTACTGGAGAGAAAAGGAAGTGTGGTACATGGTCCACGAGCTTCTGTGCAACCTAGAAACTCAGGCAAGAAAACGTCAAACTCCTGGTAGAAATTATGTTATTCCTATGAACTGTAGAGAACTGAATTAGTTTCTAATTTTTAATCTTGTTGCCTTTTTGGTTTTTTGTTTGTTTCTTTTTTTAAGCTTTGAGATTGCATTACAGATGCTCAGTATTTTAGGGGAGGAAACATGGCTCAGGCAGGTTATAGTTAGGTGGCTCAGGGAATATTTTAAAGCCAGCAGAGCTGGAATGCTAAATTATATTTTAATAATAATAATTTTTAATAATTTGCCATCACCCCTCTCCAAAAGGAATAGAAAAAGAAGAAAAAAGGTAACCAAAAAAAAAAAACAACCCAGATATTAATCAGTGTACACAACAAACGATTTGCTCTACCTGTCTAGATTGTATGATTATTTGCATCATAGCAATCAAAAAGAATTATATTTTTTTACTTGATGTTACTCTTCATGTGCCCATGCAGTGTAGTTTTTCAGGCAAGTAAGAGCTCTGAAGGGAGGGTTTTAAAGACAGAGTTGTTCAAACTGAACGTTATCCACGATAAAGCTGACTATATGGAGTGACCTGGGTATGGAAGAGACTGTAAGGACTGTAGTGGTTGATAAAGGGTGAGGTCTGTGTTAGCTGGAGCTACTGGGAGAGATTTGAAAGATAGGGTTGGGATTTGGGTAGAGGGAAGGAAACCAGAGGTATAGTGCTAAAATTCCAGTCTATAAACAAAAAACTTTTTTATTCTTTCATGCTTTGGACGCAGGAAATAGAGCTGGGACATACCTCTTTGGAAACAGCGATCTAAGATACAGCAGCATTGCCAGGTGAAGTTAAGCATACCAAAGAATGAAGCCGGTTAAAGTTGCATCCCAACCGGCAAAGAACATTTCCTAAACCTCACCTTTAGCCCATTCTTTCATTTTTCTTTTCTTTCTAACACGTGTCTTTGGCTTAATTAATGTTATCATTCAGAACAAGGCAAAAGACCCTTCACAACTGTGGACATCAGGGTGAAAAATGCTTTGCCACCACTTTTATATCTGGAATCACAACTCTGGTTAAAGGAAGCAACTCAGTTTTGATTTGGTGACACGGGGTAACTTCTGTTCTTTCTCAGATTTGTGAAAATGCTATTAATCCGATGTGTCCCTCTCAGTAGGTGACACGTAGAACATGGACTACAGCAGTGAGGGGTGGGAGGGTGTGTTAGGGCACCAACACACACAATACATTGCATGGAATACATTCTCTTGGGTTGAAGATGGAAAGGAGAGTGAGGGCTGCGAATTGCTTTAGGTTACCTCATATAATTTCAAGGAACTGGACAGACTTATAGGACAGTATGGGAATTTGATTGACTTATTTACTTATTTGATTGACTTGATTTACTTCTGAGGTAACTTTATAAAACAATAAAAGACCC